TCATGCCTGTAATTCTAGCTACTGAGATCTGAGGGTCATGATTTGAAGCCAGCCCTGGCAGGAAAGTCCATGAGACTCATATCTCCAGTTAACTACCAAAAATGGCAGAAGTGGAACTGTGGCTCAGGGACAGCTTGCAAATCCCAAGTTAAAGCCCCAGAATGGACACACACACACACACACACACACACACACACACACACACACTAATAATTATTATTATAGTAATCTGACTCTGAGTATACACACATATCTTAAAGCATTAGCATTTATGAACAATATTTGCAATAGACTTTTGAGATCAGATAATCAGTTGTATCCCGTACTGCTATAATTATAATTAATGCTTTTTCTCCTAACCAGATGGTTTTGCATCTATGTGATGTGTTCTTTACCAGATATATTTTGTATTTTCCAGCTTGTGCAAATCATCATAAACACAACACACCTTGAACAAGCTTGTAAATACCTGGAAGATTTTATAACTAACATTACAAATATTTCTCAAGAAACTGTTCATACCACAAGACTTTATGGACTTTCTACTTTTAAGGTATGTAAAAATATGACCAAAATTTTTCATTTTAGCTGTTGTAAGTAAATTTTATAAGATTAAAAGACAAATTTTATTATTTGTACAATTTCTTTATATTTCTAAATTTTGAGAATAGAAATAATTCTTGCTCAAGTTAGCAGATAAATATCAGTTCCTTTTTGGTAATTTTAAGTCTCTTACTACGTTGGAGAAAAACATATTGATTTTCTATAATGTATTACATTTTGTTCATTTTTTTACAATAAATGGTAGTGCTGCACGAGACTGACTGAATTTCTATTAATGTATCACGTATAGTTCAATAGGTTTATATGTGTATGTTTGCAAAATAAAAGTAAGAAAAATTAAGTAGTGAAGTAAGTAAGCAACTCTTAAGTTTTTCATCCTTTACTAGCTCTAATCTGAAGAAAACTAAATATCCCATATCATTAGTCTTCCTTTTTCTAGATGAAAAGTTTTCTTTATAACACAATGGAATATAATGAGATTAATTAGTGGTTACTTTAGGAGGAATGCAAGATAAAATAACTTGTTTTATAACTGTTCCATTCATTTAGAGTCATATAAATGAGACACTAGTTGCACTAGTTTTTTGTTTCTGAGAAACAATTTAAAGGAGAAAGTATCATTTTGGCTCATAGGTTTAGAGGTTTCAATCCAAGGATGCTTGGTTTCATTGCTTTTTACCTGAGAAGAGGCTGAACTCCATGGCACAGAGTATATAGTGGAGTGTAATTGCTCATTTCCTGGCAGTTGGGAAGCAGAGCACACTGTGCTAACAGGCTTCCTCCTTTGTCTACTTTTGTCCCATCTGGGCATCCAGTCTATATGTTGGTGCCACCCACATTCAGAATGACTCTATCCCTCTCAGTTACTGTTCTACATGCCAGTTATCTCTGGAAATGCCCTTCCACACATACATAGACGTGTGCTTTATTAATTTCCTTGGTCGCTCAACCCAATCTAGTTGACAATCAAGGTTAATTATTTCATTGGTAGTCTATTAGTTGTATTTCAGTCTTCCATTAAACTAATGGTAAAATAAGTTCTGACCCCTTATCTGTAAAATAAGCTTACTAGTTTAGTTTAGCCTCATAGCAATTTCTAAAAGTTTTCTATTAAAAGAAATACTTGTCCTACTATCTTCCTTTAAGTTCCTTAATTTACCTCCTAAAATTATGTGGTAATAATTCAAAATTTTACATTCAGTGTATTTGTATTTAGAAATAACTTATTTAATGTTAACATTCACCCAGACTTTGAAAGTATGAAGTCTAAAAACAACTTAAAGTGTCTTAAAAATGTCTTAACTGGGTGTCAGTGGCTCACGCCTATAATCCTAGCTACTCAGGGAACTGAGATCTGGGGACCACAGTTTGAAGCCAGCACAGGCAAGAAAGTTCATGAGACTCTTATGTCCAAGTAGTAGAGCACTGGCCTTGAACAAAAAAGCTCAGGGACAGCACCTAGGCCCTGAGTTCAAGGCTCAAGACCAACACACACACACACACACACCACCTAGGCCCTGAGTTCAAGGCTCAAGACCAACACACACACACACACACACCACCTAGGCCCTGAGTTCAAGGCTCAAGACCAACACACACACCATATATACCTTTGATGACTCTTGTGCTTGTATAATTATTCTGATACATAAGACAAATACAGAATACACACACACCAAATCATATATCCCTTTGATGACTCTTGTGCTTGTATAATTATTCTGATAAATAAGACAAATACAGAATACCAGAGTCTGTGAATGTACACAATTAGTTATTAAAACAGAAGCATAAAAGCAGGCATTCATTTATTTAGAAATATATAGAGCTGTCAGCATATGTGTTCTGAAATTAGACTGTTGCCAAGGGAGTTGAGCAAGTTATCTTTTAAAAGAATATTAATGATTACAAATGTCTCATCTATAAAATTAGATTGACAATGTGTTTATTATAAGGTTTGAAGGAGATAATTTAGAGCAATTCACGATATATCAGTTATATACTGAGCATTTTATTAGGCCTTGAGGATACAAATACCTATCCCTTTTCTTAACAAGCTCATAGGAGAAACAACTGTAAAAGACACTGAACAGTATCATGTAAGTGACATAATATAGGTGGAGATTGAAATTTTGGACCTCTATCCAAAAATCCTTAGCTGCTTTTTTTTTTTTTTTTTGCCAGTCCTGGGGCTTGAACTCAGGGCCTGGGGCACTGTCCCTGAGCTTCTTTTGGCTCAAGGCTATCACTCTACCAGTTGAGCTGCAGTGCCATTTCTGGTTTTTCCTGTTTATGTGGTGCTGAGGAATCGAACCTAGGGCTTCATGCATGCTAGGCAAACATTCTACCACTAAGCCACATTCCCAGATTTTAGCTTTTATATTAGGTTTTTCGTAAACTCTTACTGGCCTTTCTGTCCTTATATCCATGTATTACTCCTACTCTAATAAAAGGAGATTTGCTAAGAGTTAGAGCTGTAAGCATATTTAATGGTTAATATTGAATTTCATCTGCTGATTCTGTACTTCTTGTTTAAAATATACATTAACAAATCTTGTATCCTAGAATCTTTAAGCAGTTTTTAAATTCTTTTTTATGTAGGCCATGAAATCTCTACTTGATTTGCTTAATGTTCAGCTAATGATGAGACACAGATTTCCATAAAAACCTGGCACCATTATGTTTCCAGTCTTTGCCAGATGGGTCTGTAGATGTTAGGGCTTGCCTGAAATATTGAGATAGGAAGTTAACAACTCTGCCTTAGCTTTCATTTTCTTCTTGCACAGAGCTTCAAGGTATAATTAATGAGAGTTTAGAGTTTCTCAGATCTTTCCTGAGTATGTGCAGTCCTATATGTGCATGTGAAGTCTAGAGTCTTGGGAATATCAGGACTTTTCAAAGATATTTCTGAACACCCAATTTCCCAATTTTTTCCTTTTAAGTTTTTGGTTTATCTATTGTGTAACAACTGTTATCTACTATCTCCAGTATACTGGGGATATTTTGTTCCAGACAAGCTATAATTCAGGTCAAATAAAGACATCCCTTTAAGAAGGGCTGAAGTCTTCTAAGAAATGACCCAATAAGTAATGATAATACACTGAGAATGTAGCTTTGAAAGAGTACCACGCTTATTCTTCCACCTTTGTGACTGGTCAGCTGTTCCTTTTTACAACACTATGATCTGAATTTTCAAGGGTACTATGGAACTAAAGGAAGGGAGAGACTATGGAAAACAGTAAAATGGCATAAAACTCATCAAGATTCAGTTGTTTTTCTTGAAGAAATACTATCTGAATTGCTGGAAAATTTTAATTTCTAGATTTGTGGAAAAGTTGATTTTGATATTGTCTTTTTTCTTTGCCCAGGCTTAATTCAATCATAATCTAAACTCAAAGCCTAGCATCTATAACTGTCCTCTGTGTTTACAGGTTCCACACTTGTGGCTTAAACCAACTACAGAATTTGCCATAGTTCTCTAAACAATACAGTATAACAACTTGTGGCATTATTTATATGAGGTATTATAAGTAATTGAGAGGGTATAAAGTATTCAGGAGGATGTGTCAATTTTATGCAAATACTACACTATTTTATGTAAGTGACTTTGGTCCATTTGGAATTTGGTATTTGTGGGGAGAAGGCACTTCTACAATCAACTTGTAGATTTGGAAAGACAACTGCATTCTACTTTTTTTTGGTGATAGTCCATCTTTTACTTTTTCTCAGCAAATCAGTAAGTATGATCTACTGCATTCTTGACAATTTCTGTTTCTCACTTTCTTTTTTTAATAGTCTTTTTGGAAAAGATATGTCTCATGAAATATCTGATCACTTAAAAATGAAAAGGTGAGCTGGGCGCTGGTGGCTCATGCCTGTAATTCTAGCTACTTAGGAGGCTGAAAACTTAGAATTTCAAAGCCAGCCTTGGCAGAAAAGTCCCTGTGAGACTCATCTCCAATAACCACTCAAACCAGGAAATGGCACTGTGGCCCAAAGTGGTAGAGCACCAGTCTTGAGCAAAAGAGTTCAGGGACAGTGCCTAGGCCCTGAGTTCAAGTCCCATGACCAATGACAACAACAAAGAAAGAAAGAAAAAAGAAAAAGAGAGAGAAAGAGAGATAAAAGAGAGAGAAAAAGAAAGAAAGAGAAAGTGATAATGAGGCTAGGAAGAGAGAGAAGAGCTAGGCATGGTGGTTTATGCTTGTCATTCTAGGTACTGAGGAAGTAGAGATTGGAAGGATTGAGGTTTGAGGCCATCCTGGCTGAAAGTTAATGAGACTCCCATCCCAACCAATGGCTAGGTATGGTGGTATGTACTTGTCATTCCAGTTGTATTACAGGCTGATACTGGGAGAATCAGAGTTCTATGACAGTCTAAACAAAAAAGTTCATGCAATTCTATCTCAGCAGAAAGAGTTCGGTGTTGTGGTGTTAGCCTATCATCCAACTGTATCTGGACAAAAAAAAAAGAGAGACCTATCTCAAAAATAACAGAAGCAAAAGGGCTGGGAGTGTGGCTTGAGTGGTAGAGCACTTGTCTAGCAAGCATGAGACCCAGTACTGCCAAAAAGGAGGGAAGTGAGGGAGGGAGAAGAGGGAATGAGGAAGTGAAGAAGGAGAGAATAACAAGTGAATTAAACAGAGTATTGCCAGCAAAAAAACTTAACAGTTTTCCTGAAGTTTAAATGAATAACTAAAATAATAGAAGAAAGAAAATTCTACTTAAAATTTGGATTTTTAAGAAAATTTTATTTACGCTCGACTTCTATTATTATTTCTTTTCATTATTTTTGTCCATATCAGGATGCTCGGCATGCGGCAGAAGGAGAAATATATACCAAACTTAATCAAAAAATTGATGAATTTGTTCAGCTTGCTGATTATGACTGGACAATGTCTGAGCCAGATGGAAGAGCTAGTGGTTATTTGATGGATCTTATTAATTTTTTGAGAAGCATATTTCAAGTATTTACTCATTTGCCTGTAAGTATAAACAATTGCAAAACTTGTGCAAGTTTGCTTGCTAAGGTTGTATTTTAGAAGTTAAATTTAGTAATTTTCACAGATTTTGGTAGTAGTAGAAAGCTGTAGAATTTGGAGAACTGCCAATATCCACTTTATATGTTATCTCCGTGGTTAGATAAATGCACTTGTACTGTATTAAACCATAAGATTCAGTATTAAACACAAATGAAAATTTATTTATTTATTTATTTATGGGTCCAGTCATGGGCTTGAACTCTGGGCCTGGGTGCTGTCCCTCAGCTCTTCAGCTCAAGGCTAGCACTCTACCACTTGAGCCACAGTGCCAGTTCTGACTTTTTTCTTTTTGCTTATGTGGTGCTGAGGAATCAAACCCAGGGCCTCATGCATGCAAGGCAAGCGTTATACCACTGAGCCACCTTCCCAGCCCACAAATGAAAATTTATTATCTGCAAGTTTTACTACCAGATGGCAACAGAAGATTCATGTTTAAAATGTTACTTGGATTTTTGCAGATAAGTTTGGTAGAATTCCAGGATTTTAACCTGTATCCTGTGATGGGAGGAAAAAAAAGAAAAATATAGACACCCTTGTTTTGAGTTCAGCAGTCAGAAGTTGAAATGAGAGAGTTAAAATTTGTAAGAGATTGTTTATATCAAGATTACCTTTTGTTGTGAGGGGAAAAAAGGCAGCAAAAGGAAGATCAGAACTGAAAAGATAAGGAGATTTTTACTGCAAGCCAAGATCGGGTGATACTTTAGAACATCTGTTCTGTTGTTCATCTTTTTTTTTTTTGCTGGTCATGGGGCCTGAACTCTGGGCCTGGGTGCTGTCCCTCATTTCTTCAGCTCAGGGCTAGCACTCTACCACTCAAGCCAGACTGCCACTTCCGGCTTTTTCTGCTCATGTGGTGCTGAAGAATTGAACCCAGGGCTTCATGCATGCAAGGCAAGCACTCTACCACCGAGCCACCTTCCCAGCCCCGTTGTTCATCCTTATATGGAGGAAACAATAATGGAAAAAGGAGATTAGAGAGCTGCATTCTTACTTATAGAATGCTTGTAGGTCAGGAACAGATAATAGAAATGCAGTAGACATAGATGTTGGTAACATTCTTATAAAAAAAACTTATACAAGGTACTATATTTCAAAAAGTTAAGAGATTAGACTTTGCAGAAAAAGTCCCATACAGGAGCATGTTTAGACTAGTGTTTCATAGAGAAGTCCAGACTGTGGGAAACCACCTTTTAATCATTTCCTTTTCTTTTATCTGGGAGTCTTTAGCCCTTGTAAGAAAGCTATCATGTTGTTCTAAGACCTTTCTATCTTTTATGGAAATCCATGTGGTAGGTGGTAGCATTGACATTAAAATCTCTGTTGATTCTTTGGAAGCAAGAGAAGTAGCAGTTGGCACAGATCTGTAGTAGCTGTCTGTAAGGATTTATTCTTCATTCAGAACATTGTGGGCTCTCATGTAGAAAGTTATTCTTAGAAAAAAGGATAAATAGTTTACCTTGATCACCTTTCTCCCTGTTCTTTGTGGGTTTGTTTTGTTTTAATATGTATCTTCCCTTCTTTTGATGTATTTCTCTTATTCTTAAAATCCACCCTGCATTTCTCCCAAACTGGAGGTGACTTAATATCCATACCACCTCTATTGTCATAATCTAGGGCTTAGACTTGTGTCTAAAAAGCCTGTCTAGAAAGCCTTTGTCCTTCAGGATAAGGATAGAACAAAACTGAGAATCTGCAAATCTGGAGATAAAGATAGCCCATCAAAAGATGCAATTTTTAAAACCATAGATCTTAATGGGATTTACTTTATCAATGACAACTAACAGAACATAGCCAGGCCACATTCAGTTAGGAAAATGAGGACATTGACTACACCCAGTCTCTGAGCATGACTCCTTATTATCCCATTTTACAGAGCATGTCATTCAAATGTGTGCCTTAAGAAATGAAGTCCTTCTTATACTAGACTCTCAGAATCTCTCAAAAGATTGAATCATAAATCCTTGAATGACAGAGACCTCCTTTGCTAGATTTTAAATCTTGATTATGCTTATATCAGCATCTGTATGTATTAAAAAGAGACAGAAAGGGTTGATTTAAGTAGCATTTGTCCAGTTTATTAACCCTTATGTGGAAATCACCTCTACACCTCACCTCCAAAGAAATTCTGACAATTTCTTTGTAAATATAAAACTAAGGATATGAAATAGTAAATTTTCATTATTATATAGCGCTGATCCTCAGAACTGGATGCTTATATAAAGAAATTGGAATAAGAAAAAAATTAAAAAAGGATATAGCATGCAACTGTCATAGTTATTGCCTTAAGAATGGCTTGTAGGGCTGGGAATGTGGCTTAGAGGTAGAATGCTTGCCCAGGATGCATGAAGCCCTGGGTTCAATTCCTCAGTACCACCTAAGCTGAAAAAGCTGGAAGTGGTGCTGTGGCTCAAATGGTAGAATGCTAACCTTGAGCAAAAGAAGCTTATGAACAATGCCCAGGCCTTGAGTTCAAGCAACAGGGTCAATGTTAAAAAAAAAAAAGAATGGCTTCTGGTACACTTGTTTTCTACATGAATTTGTGAATTGCCCATAGTATTAAGATTCAACCACAAGGAAAATTAACCTCCTCTAATTTCCTCTAATTTCTCTTGCTTTTCTTACATTTGTCAAGTGAGAAGAGTTACAGGCCATTAATATTTAATCACTTCCAAGTATCAAGCAGAGGAATTTCTTCAAAACCTTGACTTCTCGAGACTTTTATTGCTTTGCTTATCCATTCATTTTCTTTCCGCCTATTCAAGTTGGTATGACATTGAAGATACTTAGGTGTGCCATGACAATAGTAATGTACTAGAGAGCTAAAAAAAGGTACGTTCTTGCCGGGCATCGGTGGCTCACACCTGTAATCCTAGCTATTCAGGAGACTGAGATCTGAAGATCACGGTTCAAAGCCAGACGGGGCAGGAAAGTCTGTGAGACTCTTATCTCCAATAAACCACTAGAAAACTGGAAGTGGCGCTGTGGCTCAAGCAGTAGAGCGCTCACCTTGAGCTGAAGAGCTCAGGGACAGCACCTAGGCCCAGAGTTTAAGCCCCATGATGGACAAAAAAAAAAAAAAAAAGTATATTCTCTTTGTCATCTAAAACTGTGTTCAAAAAATTGTTTTTCTTTTTTGTTTAGTTTTAAAATAAAAGGCTGCCAAAGTTTGATGAACCCTATGATTGGAATACTTTTGAGGGAAATAGGAATGTGCTGTGTATTACTGGTAGCTCTAATGTTTGCTTACTTTAGAAAAAAGTTTTATTTCATTTTTAAGATAATCATGTTCTATTTTCTCTCCTCTTTCTCCTTCCCTGCCTTCTTCCCTCCCCTCTAGAGAAAACATTTATGTTGCTCCCTCACTTGATTGAAAACTATTATAAGCAGAAAGTGCAAAAGCCTAAAACAGGAGAAGAGGGATTTGTAGTTGCTTATGGGGATTGTGGTTAATTGATGTGGTAACCAGTTTTTTGAAGTGATAGCAGTAATTAGATGAGGATAGAAAGCAAGTGTAAGAGAAATAGAAAGGTATTTGGGAAAATGTTGCGAGTGCCAGAGTGAGTATATTTTGATAGACCTATGGATTTTTTGGCATAACCTTAAAAATCTGTCTGCAAAGTAGTATCAGAGTTATTAAAACTCAAAAGAAATTTATCTTGATACTTAAACCTTTATAACTCATTCATTCTGTATTGGGAATTTGAGTTACTTCAATATATATAAAGTGGTGAGTTAGAAAATTTACGTTATTAGTAAAGGAAGCCTTGTTTATTTGGGAAGTTATCTTAAAGAAATTTTCACATTTTATTCTAAGGTTATAGTTTTTCTGATTTAATAACATTTTTTACATTTTAATAAAATATAGTTTCATACATTTAAGACTTTAGATTGGTGGTTCTTATATAAAATAGGAGAAATATTACATCTTAATTAAAATTTCAACTTTTCAACTATGCATCTTTATATTTCAGTTAAGAGTCTTATTTCTAGTTTTCATGTTTACTCCACATTTGATGAAAGACTTCTTTCAGTCTGTATACTTAACAGGTTATACATTGTGACTTGAGAGTCTTTCCTTCCTCTTTTTGCCTCTGAAAAGACTGTTTCAGTCTCATAACTGAAATTTATGTAGCAACCTGAGATGCAGTGAATTTGTATTAAATAGCAATCTACTAATTTAAATAACTTTAAAAGCAGGATGAGAATTGATATATTTTCTTACCCATGTTAGGTTTTTTTGGTTCAAGTAGAGCATGACTGCTTTCACTTTTTTTTTCCTGAGAAGGGTTACATAACCTTTTAAGCCAAAGCCTGTTATCAATTTAAAGACTAATATAATGCACAATATATTTACATCTATATATTTCCTTTTTACTTAAGTAAATAGAATAAGTTTTTTTGGTTGGGCTATAAATAAAGAAAATAGACTGTTCTGGGACCTTTGAGGAAGAGTAGATCAATGCAGAAAGAATGGTGTGATTTCAAGAGCAGGTTTTTATATTACAGGTACTTAAAAGAGTATAAAAGCACTTTGAAAAGTATGTTCAGATTATTACTGTTGAAACAAAAGCGTTTTTTAAAAATTAGATCTTTGAAATAAAAGAATGGTGAGATCTTTGAAATAAGAAACGCATATAAACTTGAAATGAAAATTTAAGGTGCCAAATTGGTTTTTAAATATTCCACATTTTCCCATTATATTAGAATTCCATGAAAATGTTACTTTGAAACTGAAATAAGCTGAGCCATAAGCTGGTAAAATGTGTTTTAGTTTTGTTGCCATGTTATTTCATGATGTTTCAAAAGAAACCAACTATCCGTAGCCTAACCTAAAATAGTAAATTATTTTGAAATTTTTGCTTAACATGTAAACAGAGGTGCATTTCTTTTTATGCCTTTTAGACTGAAGCTAGGGGTTAGTGGTTTATTGTTCTTGTGATTGGCATTAAAAGCCTTATTTCACAGCTTGCAGTGAGGGACTATTGGGTAAAGAGTGGCTGTGTTCCACAAACTAAATTCAAAAACTGTCAATCAAGGTCTTACATAGGTTATTTAGAGAATGAGTTTTCTTACTGATTTCACCAAATGTCGCCTCATGCTGTCTTTGATTGGCACACCCTGGCAGGGAGGATGGATGAATCTGTCACCGGCTGGTTAATTGTGTTGCTGGTCTCAGTCTGACATTAGGTCTTTGACTCTTAAATGGCTCAATACAAAACAAATTAGCAGATTGTAGTCATATTTCTCATTCTATATGCTTTGACTTTGTTGAATGCAGTCCATAAATCATATTGACTGACACACAAGTAAATGATGAAAGCTGCTTTTGAGACATGAATGTAGAAAGCAGCACTGAGAAGGTGCCATGGAAGGATGCATATGGTTGACCCTTTGGGAATTTCCTAGGAGCCAAATGTCTCTTTACCACAATTGTTCTAAGAAGAAAAGCTTTGGGGTAATGCAAAAAGGATCTAATATGTCAGCAGATTCTCTTTTACAAGTTCCTTTGAAATATAAGAAGTTTGTCTAAGACTTTTTTCTCTTTGCAAGTTGTTTTTAAGCAAAATTGTTAAAACAAAGCAAAAAATGTAGTCATTGTTAAAAAGTTTAGCAGGTGTTTATTTATTGAACTTGGTTAAAGAGAAAGAAAATGTTAATTTGTGCAATTTTTAGAAAAGGACAGGAAAAAGTTTATTAAATGTGCAATGTTTTTTGTTAATAGTCTTTAATGAAAGATTGAGTTTTTAAAGATAATTGTGAAAGTATTAATGTTATTTTTATTTTAGAAAGTGATATATTAAAAACATCAACCATAGTAATAATAGTTTTCAGGTTGGGATTTTGGTAATAGCAAAATGTGCCATAGACATCAGAAATAAACAAATATATTTAGGGGGTATGCAGACTTTGGTGACATTAACAGTTGTCTCTCTGAAAATTAGTATCCGATGAAATTGGAAAATGGTTCTACACATACTGCAGGTAGAAACTACACATTAAAAAATCAATGAATATGTAATCTTACAAGATAAAATTAAAATTTGATGAATTTGACCACATGATTATTATTAACTTAAATTTTGATGTATAGAAAGGAAGTATTTCACTGGAAAATTTTATAAAATATTACATATATTTAAAAGTATTGTTGACTTAGAGAGTGAGTGAGGAAAAGGGTGACATTGTCAAAAAAGAAATGACAATACCTGACTTATGTAACTGTAACCCCTCAGTACATCACCTTTATAATAACAAAAAAATAATAAAGTCATTGTTGCTCTATTTTCAAGACAAGAAAAAGTATTGTTAAAAACAGTACATGTTCAATGTATTTAAAAGAAATTTAGTATTAGGAGTTGATTATTACATGTTATTTACGTAGAAGAGCTAAGTTTGTGACTGTTTTCATTGAGTATTTCCATCACATTTGTAGAATAGCCTATAGCTGTATCCTGCCATCATTTTCGCCTTCAAGTGCTATTGCTGTCTAGTTATTTATAGCCCCTGAGCCATGTTGAATTTTAAAAGCTTTCTAAAAACAATACCTCTTCCATTACTTTGTAGTTTGTTTATGAAGTGGATTGAATGATTTTTGGCAATTTATTGATCTGCTTTTGCAATTAGTACATTATACTTGCAATAGGACACGGAGCTAACTTGATGGAGAAGTACATTAAGCTAAAATGTATTAGTTTTTGCATTAAGTCAAAATGACATTTCTATTAAATATTCTTAAGCCTAGTGTATTGTATTAAATGACATGCCATTGATTTCTCCCTTTTCTGCTTTTATTATCACCTCCCATTCATATTGATATTTTTCTACTTGGGGAATGGAACTGCATGTCTCCCAGACTAATTCCTCTGGGTTTAGGGGATCTTGAAGCATGCTGGGTTTTTCATTGTTTGTTACATTCCTTTTTGGCAGTTCATCAGTATCTGTCAAATATATTGTTTTCATTGGCTTTTATCTCTATAAAGTTTTTTTATTGAGATATTGACATTCCATTTTCAAATATGTAGTTTTCTATTGTGCATAGTGTCTAAATTTTAAAGACTCATAAAATAACTTCGTTCTAGTCTGATTTTTAATGTTTAAAGAATAGTCTAATAAATTACATCATGAAAATATATTTGTGGCCTTTTCAAATCAATGCCACATAAATGTTTTGGTACTAGCAAGTTGTAGCATTGTTTGGGAGACATTTTTCATGGCATTGTAGCATTATTGATCTTTGCAGTGAGTAAGAGAAACACAACTGTCATGTATCACTTAGTAAATATGTGTTAATGGAAATGAGGCAAAACATAACATGTCTTCTAAATGTCATTTTCTCTAACTATATTCATAGACCTTTGAGCTCTACTTATGGGAGAGAGTCCATCATCAAGTCACATAATTGTCAGTTGAAGATAGCCACCATATAAGCAGTATTACTGCTGGAAAATTATGCCTAAAAGAGTCTTACAATACTTTTTTTTTCTTTTTGGTCAGTCATGGGGCTTGAACTTTGGGCTTGGGTGCTGTCCCTCAGCTCTTCAGCTCAAGGCTAGCACTCTACCACTTGAGCCACAGTGCCACTTCTGGCTTTTTTCTTTTTGTTTATGTGATACTGAGGAATCAAACCCAGGGCCTCATGCATGCAAGGCAAGCACTCTACCACTGAGCCCCTTCCCAGCCCTTAACTACATATTTCTAGATTACTAGGTGATTTTTAAAACTTTTGAAATTAAATATAGCATGAATTTGATTGAAAAGAGATTAATTTGAAGTCATATTCCTCATAGCGTCAGTAATTGATGCTATGCAATAGACTAAGAGTTTGAATGGGACTTAGGACTCAAAGTATATTTTGAACTTTAGGTACCAGTTTAAATAATAATATAATACAAATTACACCATTAACTTCCTTATACAAAAGAGAGTATTATCAAGATGTTTTGTCAACACAATAGTGATTTTTATGTCATAAATCTCATATTTAATTTTATTTACTTTTCTTGGCTTCTTGAGACAGAGTCTTTCTGTATAGCCCAGACTAGCCTCAAACTTGTGATCTTTTTGCCTTCACCTCCAGGGTGCTTGGATTACAGGTATGCATCATTCTGCCTGGCACAATTAAAAATATTTGAGATTTTTCAAGAGATTTGTTATAATAATGGTATTTTAATTTGTTTTGAGCTTTAATGATATTATATCCTGAGAAACAGGAATTTTAATTCCTATAATACAAAGGCATCACCATTCAGAATACAGAAATAGAAAAGGCAATAATCACTACTGTGGCAACAAAAATGGCAAGTATATAATTTTTGTGGCATTTTATGATGTTTTTCTATGCTTGCTTATCTGTGTTTTGGGTTTGATTGTTTGTTTTAAATAGGGGAAAGTTGCCCAGACAGCTTGCATGTCAGCCTGCCAGCATCTGTCAACATCCTTAATGCAGATGCTATTGGACAATGAATTAAAACAGATAAGCATGGGAGCTGTTCAACAATTTAACTTAGATGTCATACAGTGTGAATGTAAGTACTATCTTGGTTAACTCTCATGCATTTCTAGGACTCTATATTTAAATTATATGAAAAAAATGTAATAGAAGATAACTTTTTTCTCAAAACTGACTACAAAATACTTAATTTGTATATATAAACATATTTTCCCCAAACACTAATTTTTACGTTTCTAAACTCAACATCAACTGATATTCTTAGTCTAGAAATAATTAGAAACACATTTCTTTTCTTTCTTGTATTCTTTCTTTCTTGTATTCTCTTTCTTTCTTTCTTTCTTTTTTTTTGCTGGTCCTGGGGCTTGTACTCAGGGCCTGGGCACTGTCCCTGAGCCTCTTTGTGCTCAAGGCTAGTGTTCTACCACTTGAGCCACAGCACTACCTCTGGCTTTTTCTGTTTATATGGTGCTGTGAATCAAACCCAAGGCCTTATGCATGCCAGCAAGCACTCTACCACTGAGCCACATTCCCAGCTCCCTCATTTGTTCTTTTATACTGAAAATTGAGCCCATGGCCTGGTACCATGCTAAGATACATTGTCCCACTAAGCTGTACACCCAGTTTAAACTGAATTCTTAAAGTTTTTTTTTCAGTTGTCTTATGAGATCATTCCAGATGGCATTGTTTATGTAAATACTTTACATAGGTATTACTTGAGGCATTTGTGTTATTAAATCCTTTATGTAACTTTGGTTGTTAGTTGGTTAAAAACTTCTGTTGGCTTCTGTTATGTCTTCTCAATTAGATTTATTGCCTAATGATGGAAATGCTGCTTGGTTAGATAACTTAAGGTGTCTAAACTTCTCTGTGTTCTTACTTTTCCACAAAGGGCTAGTCTATTCCTAAGGAAAATCACATTTATACCTTTGCCTCATTGTCCTGCTATAGGATAATTTCTACTTTTAGTTACTCCTATGGATAGAGTTAACTGAAGTCTCCTTTTAAAATGACTGATATCTTGGAGAAGATCAAAAGAAGTCCTGAGTTTGATTTAATTCAGTTAAGGATTTCTGGAGTCAAGTACAAGAAGGATAAACCCTATCCTGGTAGGAACTAAGGTTCTGGCACTGGAGATAATAGAAAGGAAAAGGCCAAAACTTAGAGGCAAATCATAGGAGCTAACTTGGCTTTCCTGAAGATTTTTGCCTTTGGTTGGCTCTGTCTCTTACCATTTATATTACTGCAATCGTTACTTCTTAATATAAAATCATGCACTCAGTACTTACTGAGCAAATGTAAATTGATCAATTACATTTTCTTTTTTTTCTTTTTTTCTTTTTCTTTTATCGGTCATGGGGCCTAACTCGGCCTGGGCGCTGTCCCTCAGCTCTTCAGCTCAAGGCTAGTGCTCTACCACTTGAGCCACAGGACCATTTCAGGCTTTTTCTGCTTATGTGGTGCTCAAGAATCAAACCCAGGGCCTCTTGCATACAGGTCAAGCACTCTACCACTGAGCCACTTTCCCAGCCCCTCGATTACATTTTCATGTTTATTTTTCTACCTCTGGTGTTAAATGTTCTTTTGAAAAAGCCAACTTTTTACTTTAAATAGTGTAGTATAAATAATAAAATCTTTTTCTGTTGTAAAAGAAATTTTAATCTGCGACTCATATCTCTGATCATATAAAAATGGAACTTAGTTTAACAAACATGAGAAGAATTTTTTAATGGTTTTTATTATAAAAATACTGTACAGAGGGGTTACAGTTACATGAGTAAGGTAATGAGTACATTTTCTATGGAGCATTGTTACCTCCTTTTCCCCTACCATCCCTTCCCTCCCCATCTCCCCAACTCCTCCCTCTCCCCACCCCCCAAGTTGTAAAGTTCATTTTTCAACATAGTGTCTTGTATATCTCATTGTTACAACGGGTCAACTTGTATCCTTATTTCAGCATTTTGTTATTTCCCCTCCCCTCCCCAAATTAAAACAATGTAAGAGAAGAGAGTTTTAAAAATAACTTTTAACCCTTTTTAACTAATATTTTAAATCTGGAAGAAATCAGTTTTTAAAATACAAATTTAACTTTTAGATGATCACAAAAGTATTCTTTCTCCATATTGCGGCTGAGAAAAGTGAAGAAAGGGAGCAAAGAAGAATTTGGCCAGGTAGATGGAAAACTAGAGTGCTTGGTAAAATAGTAATGTAAAGAAGTCTGGGTATCCTGGGAATCCACTGGGAGATGGAGAAGAAGACAAGAGATAGCTCAGAAGCAAAATCCTAGAAGTTAAAAGATCACTCTTCCCACCCCCAACGCCTTGTAATACATATGTATTACCAGTCATATACTCCTCCACTCTAACGTCATCTCTCAGATAACCCTGCTGTGGAGTTGTCCAGCTAGTCCTTGAAATCCAATTTAGAGGATTAACTACTCTTCATGAAATATATTTGCATATGATACATTTCTTACGATTATGTCAGTAGATTACATTGAGCTAAAACTGTTTCTTTCTTTCTTTTTTTTTGAGCTAAAACTATTTTATCTATAAACTTTTAGTTGATCAAGTTCTACCTAAGGGTTAGAGTCACCACTAGTTTATATTGTGCCTTTTTTCCAATCAGAAGAAGTGTTCTCACCAAAACACTCCTATAGGGCTGCCTTCTTTGTAAGGCAAGACCTCTACCACTGAGCCACCTTCCCAGCCCAGGGCTGTCTTCTTTGTATGTCTTATATAAAATTCACATTTTTCCCATATGGACTCAACTCCTGTCATGATGGCACACAAGTTAAATGTACACAGCTATTAGCTCTCTCCATCTTCCTTTCTCATCTGGTCATCTATGGATAGAGAGCAGCCAAACTGCTGGATGGTCATAAAGGGAAGAAAAAGCAGATCCTCATCTATAAAACAATTACATGAAAACTGCTCTTATATTCTTCTACAAACTGGTCTTCTACAAACTGGTTTGACTATCTTCTGTTCAATATCAGTGTCTTATACACAGAGGTAGGAGAAATAATATGATATGTAATTTGAACTATCAAATACAGTGTTCCATACCCTTAACTGTTAGGACAAATCCTTTGATTGTCAGAATGTACTTTCAAATAATTGAAACTATGGCATTCTAAAATCTGTGTATCTTTCTTTTACCATCTTTTTTGTGATTACTCTTTTTTTTCCTAATCTTACACTGGTACTATTTGTTTTTATTTTAGGATATTAAGATAATACCTAATAAATTATATATTTATGTTCTCAAGGTGAACATAAAATCCTACAAATCTGTGGCATTCTAGCAAGAGATCTAGAATTCCAACAAACTATATAATAGTGATCAAGAACTTAGATTGGAGATCGTGAACTACCAAAGATTCTGGATAACACAGAAAAGGTGCTTAGGTCAAAGAATTTAAATAATAAAGTTGATGGAAAATAAACTTGAGGTTTCACAAGTGCTCAACAGGCACTCTACCACAGAGCCATACTTCTAGTCTAAAGTTAGATTCATGAATACTTAAACTTTATAATTGAGGGAATCTACCACTTTCTAATCAGAAGCAAAACTTGATGGAATCTGTGTCACAGTAGGGTTAGTTTAGTGTTACAAGGACATGGAGTTAGAACAAGACAGATGCTGAAAACTGGAAAAATATTATACTTTTTCATAAAGTACAAAGAGTTCCTGACCCTGGGAAGTGGGAATAAGAGAATGGATTATGGACATTTTAGAGGAGGGAATATGTAAATTTGTTATGATTAAATGATTAGAACCAGAGACCTATGCAAAGAAAGAAACATAGAGGATGCATACCATCATCAAGGGTGGGAATGAAATGGAAGGTATGGGCAGGGAGAAGAGAAAAGAGATTTAATCATCCAGGATAGGTAGTTTAACTAAGTTCAACAAAGTAGATAGGCATTTCAAGCATTCTGCACAGTGCTATACTCATAGTAAAAGATACGTTACATGGTAACAATTCTATAAATTCTATAAAGTACATAGTACTTTGAGAGAAGAATAGCAGCAGACTATAATCTAGATATAAAATTTCTTAGACTGAAAATATTATGTGGGGGGGGTCAGTGCATGACTTCATGTTCAGAGAAAGTTGGGAAGATAACTAGGAATGTGTTCTTGGAATATAAAGATAGACTTCTTTGAGAACTGCACAGAACACTTAATCCTTTTAAAGGTTTTGTAAATTTAAGATAAATTGTTTCTTAGTTGAGAGTATATTTGCCAGGTTTGGCATATGCTGAGTTCTGAATCTGCATATGTGCTGTGTTTTATATTTACTGAATGTCTGCTATATATTGGGTCCCAGGATGGGTACTTTACATGTAACCTATAGAAGAAAAAATAATCATTCTTCTACCACATTATTACATAGGTGCCTCTGAAATATTTTTATCAGTAACAAAATGCAGAATATTTCCTACGCTTCAAGGGACCAGATTCTTTGTTTTATATTTGAGTGTCCAGACTAGGTCTATGTATTTATGTATTATATACTTTTTATGGATAGTATACAAATAATGAATGAGATTATCACAACTAAGAGTTTAATATCTGAAGCCCAGAGGTACTAGAAAAGCTCCAGATTGGAAAGTGCTGGCACCTGATGTGATGAAGAAGGTATTTTTGTATGGACATCACAAGATCAATCCAGTAAGATGAAGACCTTACACACTAGGCAAATGATTGATCTATGTTGCCAACTCTTTTATTGTTTTTAATTTTTTATTTTGAGGCAGGGTATAGTCAAATTACATAATCTGGTGTCAAATTTACTATCTTCCTGAATGGCTGGGATTACAGGTGTGTACTACCACCATACTTAGATTGAAAATTGTACATCTGAAGATCTGTTCTTTCTTCTTTGGATGAAGACCTAACCCACCATAAACAAACAGAAAATAAGAAAACCCACAAAAACAACAAAACAAAAAGTTCTCTTTTGTGGACTTTAGTTTCATTTTTGAAAAAGATATATGACTCCAAATAGAAGTATTAAGGGGAGGGGCTGGGAAGGTGGCTCAGTGGTACAGTGCTTGCCTTGCATGC